ATAGCTGTAGTGTATATTATTACTATAAAACAGCACATTGCACTGTTCAAGATAAACCATTCAGATATCCAGCAGTGCTAAACCTTGATGCACTTCCTTACATGGTGAACCAAAAACCGTACAACATTCATGTCTCATTCAGTTTCCAGAAAAGTGGCCAAATTGCTTATTTCTGTGTACTCCATGCCAAAACAGTTCATCTAACACAGATTTGTCAGAATACTGTAAAATATGCATAGCACACACTATGTAAATACACTAATTAAATTAGTAAACAAAGCAGTAATTAAACAAAGTAAATTAGGGGAAACTCTGCTGACTTCCATCATCCAATCATGTGCAAGCAAAAAATGCTTTTTTTTTTTTTTTTTGCATGTGATTGGGTATTCTTTACAAAGTGATGCTTTGCCTCATTTACTAAGCTCTGGAGCAACTGCAGTTTGAAGAGTGCAACTGCACTTGTATATTTGCACATACGGCAGTTGCTAAAGCAATGCCACAAGGACAAGGCAGTGCCATAAACAAAATGGGGCTTAAAGGGAATTTCTTAAGATGACTGCTATGTCACAGGCAAGGTTCCCATATTTTACAGAATTCTGCCATTTTTTGACAAACAGAAGTAGTCCTAGTCCCAGGGGGAGGGAAAAACAAATCCATAGTATCTCACATAGTGATGTCTGCTTCAGGGCTGACACTGTTTCTAGGGCCACTTACACACTAGGGTGACTACCTGCTTTCCAGACATTTGTCCCTGAATGCTTAAAGTGATTCTAAAGGTTGAAATAGGGAAAAAAAAAAAAGTTAGTCTGGCTGAAAAAAACACAAGTCCATCTAGTTCAATCATAAAAAAAAAAAAAATATATATATATAGTTGATCCAGAGATAGGAAAAAAAACCTGCAAAGCATGATCCAATTTGCTCCTGCATGGGGAAAAAATTCCTTCCTGATCCCCTAAGAGGCAACGGATATTCTCTGGATCAACTTTACCTATAAATGTTAGTATCCAGTTATATTCTGTGTAGAACCAACTTACCTGCTCTGTGTGATGGTTTTGCACAGAGCAGCACCAATCTTCTTCTTTTGGGTCCCCTGTCGACGGTCCTGGCTCCCCCCCCCCCCGATGAGTGCCGCCAATATGATATCTGAGCTTCTTGCCATGGGGGCACTCAAGCAGGCTCGCTTCTGGGCCATGCTGCTGTGAATGGACATTGTCCATTCACACACAGAGTGCAGCTTGGCCCTGCCCCCAGTCCTTCCTCATGGCTCACTGGCTGTGATTGACAGCAGCAGGAGCCAATGACTCCTGCATCTGTGTGAGCCAATTAAGAGACAGATATCTGGGAGAGCCGCTGCTCTTGTGCACATCGCTGGATCGATGTGGATTTCTGGTAAGTATTAGGTGGGTCTGTAGGTGAATTGCACCCAGAAGGTTTTTACCCACAGAATGTATTAAGGTAAAAAACCCTTCTGCCTTTAGAACCATTTAATGCAGTGTTCAGCCACAGCAAATTTCAGCCTGTCATAGACTTTGACAGGCTGCAGGCAGCAGGGCTGGATGCTGCACTTCTGCCTCCCAGGAGCACCTACAGCCTAGAATTCAAAGCACAGGAGCTAGATGCCTAAGTGTGCATTAGAGTTGGGCAATGGCAGCATTCAGCAAGGAACAGTAACAGTTGGTTACATGATAGATCATTTGTACTTGACACAATATTTTGGACACAGACTACTGTTGCAAGAAAACATCAGTGCTATTATGTTGCTATTACCCGTGTGATCAATTCATTTTATTTTCATAATATGTTTTCATCCTAGAACAGGGGCAGGCAACCTTTTGAGTACAGTGTGCTGAAAAATGTTTTGAAGAAATTGAGAGTGCCGGTTTTATAAAAAAAAAAAATATCAGATTCATGCTCTCAATCACGAAAAGGAATTTTTATAAAGCAAATGCTGTAAACTACTTGATTAGTCATGTGAAATTAACATCCTGCATTTTCACGTCTTAGATCAGTCCCAATTCCTGCGACTTCACACATCAGATCAGTCCCAATTCCTGCGACTTCACACTTCAGATCAGTCCCAATTCCTGAGACTTCACACATCAGATCAGCCCCAATTCCTGCAACTTCACACTTCAGATCAGTCCCAATTCATGCACCTTCAAACCTCAGATCACTGTACCCACTGCTCATTTGTCCCACCACTGTACCCCACAACTCATCCGTCCCACCACTGTATCCCCTGCTCATTTGTCCCACCACTGTACCCCCCAACTCATCCATCCCACCACTGTACCCCCTGCTCACTTGTCCCACCACTGTATCCCCCAACCAGGGGCGGACTGACAACTCATGGGGCCCCCGGGCAAACTCAAAAAAGCCTTTGAAAAAGGTACCAGGGGCATCTTATAGGGCCCCCTACGAATCCGGGCCCCACCACTGTACCCCCTGCTTTCCAAAGGGTCAGTCCCCCCTGTAAGCCCCCTGTTCACCTGTCCCCACAAATATATCCCCTTTTTCATCTGTCCCACCACTGTACCCCCTGTACTATCTGCTCCACCTCTGTACTACCCTACTTTATCTGTCTCACTGCTGAATCCCCTTCTCATCTGTCCTAACACTGTAATCCACTTGCTCATCTGCCCCACCACTGTAACCCCCTTTCTCATCTGCCCCCACCACTGTACCACCTGCACATCTTTCCCACCTCTGTGTCCCCTGCTCTCTGCCCCACTGAATTCTGAGATCAGAATGCATTAGTGTAGCAGAAGCTGTGTCTCACTGGCCCTTATTGCTCCACTGATGGGGAGGGAGTCGCATGCCGGCAAAGGAGGCTGCACCACTGTGTCGGGGGTTCCGCCTTCCCCTGTCCTAGTTAAAATTTAGGCTTCTATTCACCTCAGTTGTTAGGAGTATCTTTAGGTTAAGGGTCATGTTCAAAGTTTTTAGGATTACCTGTATTGGTATGGGCTCCAATTGTACGTCAGGGGAAATTTGACCTAAAAAAAGCATGCAGTACAAATCTGCAACTACATGCACAGTAAAGTACACCTAAAGCCACAACTTTTTTTTTCACTTTGGATAGATTAGGGGTGAGTGAAAACCACAGGCAATATTTTTTTTTTCTTTAATGTGCCTCATTAGGGACATTTTCCATCACTTCCCATCACATCACTCGGCACCAAATTAGAAGACATCTATTTCTGGTGTGAAAGAAATTGCCTCTGAACACAAGTGCCCCGTTGGCAGAAGCTGATATCCTCCCTATTCCCACTGTTATGGTGACAACTCAAAAGGCGCACCTTTTGAATTTACCCTCACTTTTCCTGGAGACTTTGGTGATCAGATTCAGGACAGTTATAGAAAGTAAATCTCCCTAACAGAGTCATTGGGGGGATTTTACTAAAACTAGAGCACTCAGGAAAACTAGTGCAAATCTGTCCATGGTGGCCAGTCAGCTTCTAACTTCAGCTTGTTTAGTTAAGCATTGGCAATAAAACCTGGAAGCTGATTGGTTTCTATGCTGCTCCAGATTTTTCCATCAGTCTCCAGTTTTCATTAAATAACCCCCATAGACCATTCTAGAGCACTCTTTTAAAATGTAAAGCAATAAAAGTTTTGTTTTTAGTTTGCTGCTGGTAGATGCCATAACCCTGGTATTGTTTTTTCCCTTAGGTGTCACTCCCCCGACACTTTCTGCTGGTTCCCAGTGCTGGCAGTGGAAAGGCTTAGAGATGAATGAAGGAAAGATGGCCTCCACTAATCTTTATGGCCATGGCCAGCCAAATAAAAATTTGGCTCTTTTTTAAAGTAGAGGAGAGATTTGGGGTGTTAAGACCCCCAGATCTCTCCATAAATATGACCTGTCATGCTGTCTTGTTATCGCAGTTATGTTTACATTCCTTGTGATAGCAATAAAAGTGATTACCGTATTTTTTTGCCGTATAAGACGCACTTTTTCTTCCCCAAAACTGGGGGGGAAATGTCAGTGCGTCTTATGGGGCGAATATGGAGCGGCCGGTCCGGTATTTCCACCGCGGCCGTGTCAGAATACTGGGCCGGCCGCTCAGCTCTGCAGAGGGACCTTACCTGTTCCTCTATCCAGCGGCGTGCTGTCTTCCCGGCTTCTGTAGTATGGGCACTGGGCATGACAGCCGGGTGCCAAGTGCGCATGCGCAAGAAGCGGTGCTTTTTGTGATGAATGGTAAGGCGGTACCTGGACACATGACAGATCCCAAAACCGCCGGACCAATCACAAAGCGCAAGTGCTTCTCGCTCATGCGCACTGGGCACCCGGCTGTCATGTCGAGCGCCATTACAGAAGCCGGGAAGACAGCGCGCGGCTGGATCGAGGAACAGGTAAGATCAAAAAACTCTGCGGAAGTAAGAGCGGGTACCTGTCAAATTCAGGTACCTGCTCCCCACCTCCCCAAAGGTCAGCAGTCATCTGTACTGTCCTCAGTCTCTGTCATCCCTGTGCTGTCCGCAGTCTCTGGTCATCCCTGTGCTGTCCGCAGTCTCTGGTCATCCCTGTGCTGTCCGCAGTCTCTGGTCATCCCTGTGCTGTCCGCAGTCTCTGCATCCCTGTGCTGTCCGCAGTCTCTGGTCATCCCTGTGCTGTCCGCAGTCTCTGGTCATCCCTGTGCTGTCCGCAGTCTCTGGTCATCCCTGTGCTGTCCGCAGTCTCTGGTCATCTCCTGTACTGTGTCTGCAGTCCATTAGTTCAGAATTTTTTTTTCCCCTGTTTTCTGCCTCTAAAACCTAGGTGCGTCTTATGGTCAGGTGCGTCTTATACAGCGAAAAATACGGTACATTTTTTTTAGCCACTTGCCTACAGGGCACTTATACCCTCTTCCTGCCCAGAACAATTTTCAGCTTTCAGCGCTGTCACATTTGAATGACAATTGCACAGTCATGCAACACTGTACCCATATGAAATATTTAGCATTTTTTTGAAACAGATAAAGCTTTCTTTTTGTGTTATTTAATCACCTCTGTGTTTTTTATTTTTTGCTAAACAAACCAAAAACCACTGAAAATTTTGAAAAAAAAGTTTTTTTTTAGTTTTTGTTAAAAATTTTGTAAATAAGTGATTTTGCGCCTTTACTGATGTGCACTAATGAGGCTGCAGTGATGGGCACTGATAGGCTGCACTGATGAGGAAGCACTGGTAGGTGGTACTGATGGGCATTGACAGGCATCAGTGATGGGCACTGAAAGGCAGCACTCATATATGGCACTGATAGGTGGCACTGGACTGGCACTGATAGGCGGCACTGTTAGGTAGCACTGACTGGCACTGATAGGCGGCACTGACTGGCACTGATAGGTGGCACTGAAAGGCAGCTCAGATGGGCACTGATCTGGCATTGATGTGCACTGGTAGGCATTGATATGTGGCATTGATGTGGCACTGATGGGCACTGGCAGGTGGCATTGATGGGCGCTGGCACTGATGGACACTGACAGGTGGCACTGCTGGCTACACTGATCATCAGGGCACACTGATCATCAGTGCCCTGATGATTAGTGTACATGTCCCCTCTGAGGGATGCTGATTACTGGCTCTCCACTCCTCACAAGCTGTCAGCATGGCAGCTCGTGAGGAGAGAAATGCCGATAACCGGCATTTCCCTATTTACATGCGATCAGCTGTGATTGGACACAGCTGATCACATGACCGAGCGGACATCTTTGGCTCTTTCCGTTGATCGGTGATCCGCTGTGTCCGAGGGACACAGAGCACCACCGATCACCGCGCTGTGCGCCTCCGGAGCCGCGCATGCGTGGTTAGTGGAAGGACATCATATGACGTCCTCCCAGAATGAGAGAACCAGCTTGCGCCCGTCATTACCTTATATGGCGGGCAGGAGGCGGTTAAAGGGACAATGTAAAAATAAAAAATATAATAAAAAATTTTTTTTAAAGCTCCCCGTCCCCCCCTGCTCGTGCGCAGTGGTGAATGCATATGCACGTGTTAGGTATCGCCGTGAACGCCAGCACAAGACAATAATTCTAGTACTAGGCCCCCTCTGTAACTCTAAACTGGTAACCTGTAAACATTTTTAAAGCATTGCCTATTTTTAAGTACTGTAGTTTGGCGCCATTCCACGAGCGTGCGCAATTGTAAAGCACAACATTTTAGGTATTTATTTACTCGATGTAACATCATCTTTCATATTTTACTAAAAAAAATTATATATATCGTGGGTTTTTTTTAATTCATTGAAGTGTACTGTATAAAAAAATTGCATTTGAAAAACCACTGCACAAAACCGTTTGACATAAAAAATTGCAATGACCACCATTTTAGGAGAAGCACAGTGGTTAAATGGTTAGCACTTCTGCCTGGCAGTACTAGGATCATTGGTTTAAATACCACCCACAGCGCCACCTGCCTGGAGTTTGCATGTTCTCCCTGTGCCTGTGTGGGTTTCCTCCAGGTACTCTGATTTCCTTCCACACTCCAAAGACATGCTGGTATGCATGCTTAATTGGTTCTTGTCTAAATTGGCTCTAGTATGAATGTGAGTTAGGGACCTTAGATTGTACACTCTTTGAGGGTTAGGGACTGATGTTAATGTACTATATATATATATATATATATATATATATATATATATATATATATAATATGTTCAGCATAAATTGACAGCGCTGTAAGTGCCTATAATAAATAAAATTATTTTATTCTCTAGGGCTGCTGCTAAAAAATATCTAAGTAGTTTTCTAGCAAAAATTACTGATGTTCAATACACACCAAACTGAGCATGTGCAGCTTGCTCCAAGGCTATGTTCTATCTGCAGATGGATTGGGGACTGTGGAAGAAGGAGGATCAGAGAAGACCGGATCAAGCATTCTTTTAACACAATGCGGAGGATTAACCCTTTATTTTGCACAGTGAGTATAACAAACATGCTTTACTGCATATACAAACTGATTTTACTGTTGTTGGTGGATTTAGTGACACTTTAACTAAGCAATTAACCCTTAAAACTGCTGCCACCTACTTTTACTGAAAGTTAGGAAACTTTCACAAGATTACCATTACAATTATGATTTAAAAAAAAAAGTCTGTACACACACTGTCACCACAGACAGGTATATTGAGAGAGTTATCATGTAGAAGTGCTTTTCAATTGACAAGGATTCTTTAAGTTTGCATTAGGCATTAGAGACAGTTTTAACACATTTCAAAATATGGCTTAATAATGAAACGGTAGAAAAATGGTGCAAATAAAATATTTACAAAATATTTTAAAAAAATGCACTGGTACATTTTTCATAGGCTTTTTTGAGTTTGGGCAAGGACACAGGGGCCCCATGATCCCCTATTGCCCGGGGGCCCCATGAATTGTCAGTCCACCCCTGCTCGGGACTGTCCATAATGTTAAAGGGTGCCTTGACTGAAAAAAGGTTGAGAAACACTGGGTTAGATAACAAATTAATAGTGACAGCTATGTACACTTTTTTCTGTGGCCCAGTTCAGGTTGGCAATGATGTCTTACTGCCATGCCTTTTATCCTTAAGGTGTTGGCAGGTACTGCATATGCTTTCCGGTAATTGTTCATAACCTACATAACAGGATACCAACAGATGTAAATAAGTAAAGGACAAAGCTTTGATTCATAGCTGCATCTTTGCTTTTTTATTTCTACAGTACATATCCTCTTAAGGATAGGATTTAGTAGTATAATATCCTTTGTGATGCCTCTACTTTATTAAATTCAATTCAAAAGCATCCATTAAGATTTGTATCGGAGGCACAGTAAATATAGTAATACAAATGAGTACACATGAAGAGCTTTGTAGGAAAAAATGGTTATCTTGTATTAACCACTTGCCGCCAGGGGATTTTCCCCCCTTCCTGACCAGTCCATTTTTTGCGTTACGGCACAATGTCACTTTAACTGGAAATTGCGCGGTCATGCAATGCTGCAAAATTAAATTTGCTTCCTTTTTTCCCACAAATAGAGCTTTCTTTCGGTGGTATTTGATCGCCTGTGCGTTTTTTTTTATTTTTTTTTGCGCTATAAAAAAAATTGACAATTTTGAAAAAAAAAATTTTTTTGATTTTTTGCTATTAAACGTGTCCAATAAAAAAAAAAAAATCAAAAGTCAAATTTCATCAGCAATTTAAGCCAAAATGTATTCTGTTACATGTCTTTGCTAAAAAAAAAAAAAAAAATCCCAATTCGTGTAACTTAATTTGTTTACATGAAAGTTATTACAAATGGCGGTGTATATATACTGGGATTTTTTTTTTTAATAGTAATGGCGGCGATAGCGACTTATAGCGGGACTGTGGGCGGCATTCTGACACTGGGGGGAACTGACTTGGTGTCACTGACATCCACAGTGATATCAATACAGTGACCAGTGCTAACAAAAAGCACTGACACTGTACCAATGGCACTGGGCAGGAAAGGGTTAACATGTGGGGCGATCAAAGGGTTAATGGTGTGCTATGTGCTGTTTTGCATACTGGGCTGTGTTTGTGCTTCACTGTAAGCACACTGGTTTGCATGGCTCTGCTATGCATAGCCATGCAAAGCAGTGTGCAGGAGCTGACAGGGGAGACGTGATTTTGCACACCCGTGCCGCCCTGTAACAGTACTTCTCTTATAGGGCAGAAGGGAAGCGGTTAAAATAATTTTTGGCTGTATTTGCACAAATAAAACCATCAACACGTGACAACTAATTTCTAACTGTAGAGTGATTTGTTGGTTACATGTGCAGAGCAGTAAATGTGTTCCATGTCAAGTTCATGCACAGTTGCATTATCTGCAAGCAGTAGAGTATCTATTATGCTTGCAGGGCGAGAGCTCAGTGAATTGCTGAGTGCATTATGAGCAGAGGTAATTGCAACCTCTCCAAGCACAGAAATGACAAACAGGCCTTTAATTTACACTCTCAGGCCGCTTTATTAGGTACACCTGTGCAATTGCTTGATTTCTAATCAGCCAATCACATGGCAGCAATTCAATTTATTTAGGCATCTAGACGTGGTGAAGACGACTTGCTGAAGTTCAAACCGAGCATCAAAATGAGGAAGAAAGGGGATTTACATGACTTTGAACGTGGCATGGTTGTTGGTGTCAGAGAGGCTGGTCTGAGTATTTAAAAAACTGCTGATCTACTGGGATTTTCACACACAACCATGTCTAGGGTTTACAGAGAATGGTCCAAAAAAGAGAAAATATCCAGTGAGCTGCAGTTGTGTGGACAAAAATGCCTTGTTGATGTCAGAGGACAATAGGCAAACTGGTTGCTTGCTGCGACATTCAGATGGTAGGGTTAGAATTTTAATATTTTCTTGGCACTCACAAGGTGAACCTAATAAAGTGGCCAGGGAGTGTATAATCATAATGATATGATTATATACCTACAATGAAATATGTCAGGTCAGACTACACAATCATTAAAGAATCATTAAAGAAGATGCAGATCTACTGTCTTCCCCTCTGAAAGTTTTTGTCAGTAAACATTTTTGTGAATTTGTATTTCTTTATATTTCCATAATTCTATTTCATGTAATAGTAGGCTTTTGGTCCATTCAAAATATGAAAAGATTTTCTCCTAGATTGTAAGCTCCAAGGAGCAGGGCCTTCTTATCCCTCTTGTATTGAACTGTATTGTTGCTGTATTGTCTCCCGTTATATTGTAAAGTGCTGAGTCATATCTGTGTGACAGTAAATGCTCTATTTGGTTGGGAGAGAATGAATGATAAGGATATATGACAGGTGTGAAAAAAAAAGGGGGATATCAGAACAAAGAACAATAAGGAAGAGAAATGTCTGATGAGATGGTGGGTGGAATACGGGAGAAGGGAGAAAAAAAAAAAAAAAAAAGGGGGGGGGGGGAGAGGAGTAGGGGGTTAAGTAACTGTAGAGTCTATACGTAATAAAAATCTAAAATGGATCACATCCCTATGTATTAGCCAAGCCAGAAAAGTAGTAATAAATCATAAAATATGATACGTGCAAAATCAGTCAGTGGGGAAACACGTGGATCAAAACCCCCATAAGGTATGTCATGATGTAGATCTACAGCCCATCCTTATGTGCAATAAAGGTATCCTTGATGAGTAGGGTAATCCCCCAAACAGCATTGTACAAGGACATTCAATCAGGAGATAAAGATTGATCATGTCCTAACAGATGCTAGGTAGAGGTGGATTTGAAATGACTCCAGCATGCCCATGTTTTCCTAAATCTCTCGGGATGCATTTGGAATCTGTTGCTGTCAACTCTCAAGATGAGATCCAAAGAGCTGTCACTATCAGTGAAGCAAGCCATCATTGGGCTGAAAAAAACAAAACAAACCCATCAGAGAGATAGCAAAAACATTAGGCGTGGCCAAAACAACTGTTTGGAACATTCTTAAAAAGAAGGAACGCATCGGTGAGCTTAGCAACACCAAAAGACCCGGAAGACCACGGAAAACAACTGTGGTGAATGAGCGAAGAATTCTTTCCCTGGTGAAGAAAACACCCTTCACAACAGTTGGCCAGATCAAGAACACTCTCCAGGAGGTAGGTGTATGTGTGTCAAAGTCAACAATCAAGAGAGGACTTCACCAGAGTGAATACAGAGGGTTCACCACAAGATGTAAACCATTGGTGAGCCTCAAAAACAGGAAGGCCAGATTAGAGTTTGCCAAACAACATCTAAAAAAGCCTTCACAGTTCTGGAACAACATCATATGGACAGATGAGACCAAGATCAACTTGTACCAGAGTGATGGGAAGAGAAGAGTATGGAGAAGGAAAGGAACTGCTCATGATCCTAAGCATACCACCTCATCAGTGAAGCATGGTGGTGGTAGTGTCATGGCATGGGCATGTATGGCTGCCAATGGAACTGGTTCTCTTATATTTATTGATGATGTGACTGCTGACAAAAGCAGCAGGATGAATTCTGAAGTGTTTCAGGCAATATTATCTGCTCATATTCAGCCAAATGCTTCAGAACTCATTGGACGCGGCTTCACAGTGCACATGGACAATGACCCAAAGCATACTGCAAAAGCAAACAAAGAGTTTAAGGGAAAGAAGTGGAATGTTATGCAATGGCCAAGTCAATCACCTGACCTGAATCCGATTGAGCATGCATTTCACTTGCTGAAGACAAAACTGAAGGGAAAATGCCCCAAGAACAAGCAGGAACTGAAGACAGTTGCAGTAGAGGCCTGGCAGAGCATCACCAGGGATGAAACCCAGCGTCTGGTGATGTCTATGCGTTCCAGACTTCAGGCTGTAATTGACTGCAAAGGATTTGCAACCAAGTATTAAAAAGTGAAAGTTTGATTTATGATTGTTATTCTGTCCCATTACTTTTGGTCCCTTAACAAGTGGGAGGCACATATGCAAACTGTTGTAATTCCTACACCGTTCATCTGATTTGGATGTAAAATTAAAGCTGACAGTCTGCAGTTAAAGCACATCTTGTTTGTTTTATTTCAAATCCATTGTGGTGGTGTATAGAGCCAAAAATGTTAGAATTGTGTCGATGTCCCAATATTTATGGACCTGACTGTATATTACAAATATACTGTATTTTTATACAAACAAGGTACCGTATTTTTCGCCATATAAGACGCTCCGGAATATAAGACGCACCCAATTTTAAAGGAGGAAAATCTAGAAAAAAAAAGATTCTGAACCCAATACTGTAGTAAAATATTTTATATCAACTGTATAAAGTTAACAGCAGTTTAAGAAAAATTTTATGCCAACCATGTAACAAATCCAGAAATGAAAGAACTCACGGTTCGGATCGTTCCACGGATCAGGAGTCACGGATCGGATCTTTTTCGGATCAGTAAAAAAAAAACAACAAGACAAACATACCGGTACGTTTTGTCTTTTTGTTTAATACATCATCCACCATTGCCCCCACTCATCACGTAATGTCCCCACCATCACGTTGCCCCATTGCCCCCACTCATCACGTAATGTCCACCATTGCCCCCACTCATCACTGTAAAGTCCACCATTGCCCCCCACTCCTCATCACCATCACTGTTCCAGTGCAACATTGCCCCCACATTAGTAATAATAGCCAGTAACATTGCCCCCACATTAGTAATAATAGCCAGTAACATTGCCCCCACATTAGTAATAATAGCCAGTAACATTGCCCCCAACATAGTAATAATAGCCAGTAACATTGCATTGACCCGCTCCTCACCTGTTGTTGTAGATCCGCGCTAAGGTAGGATCCACGAGCAGAGGGGGTGATGACGTCAGCGCGCACCGCCGGGTGTACTAAGATGGCCGACCGCTCCAGAGATAGGCCAAAGCCGCGGCCTTTCCTATGGCCGTGGCCGCGCCTCACGGATTCTTCCTCTATTCGTTGTATAAGACGCACCAACTTTCCCCCCCCCCCAGTTTTGGGGAAGAAAAAGTGCATCTTATACGGCGAAAAATACGGTATGTATATGAAGGATGACGCAAACGTCTGAATCATTCTATCCCTAGACTTTCTGTGTTTATGTGGATGTCATACTGCACACTACTAAACCGCTACCACTTACATGTACAGTAAATCTGGTATTGTAGTATGTATTAAACAAATGTTTTTGTGGTTGTCTATGTCACGCTAGAAGAGATTTCCCATTTTTCCTATCTCTGTACGGGTTTGTTCACACTTGACTAAATTTGTAACTCTTAACAAACGTATATAGCATTACCCACATGGAAGAAAAATATATTTGAAATATATTTTAAAAATATTCTTCCCAAATATATTGACATATATTTGAAATATTACAATTTTGGCCATATTCAATATATATATATATATATATATATATATATATATATATATAATCATGTTGAAATGCATTTTTTATATATTACAAACTATATGAAAAATATTTTTAAAAATATATTTTTTTAAATATATTCTTCAGATTTTTTTTTTTTACATATAAAAAGTCATTTTAACGTATTTTACATATATTTGTAAATGCATTCCAAAAATGTAGATTAAATGTATTTTTAAAGACATACAGTATATTTGAAAATGTATTTTTAAAAATATTTTGCATATATTTTGTAATAAAAACATATAGTGTGTGTGTGTGCGTATATATAAAAAAAGTCTAATGAAGACCATTACTGTATATGTGTCAGTGGGCATTGGGATTTAGCAATAGTAGCCAGGAGTTGTCCCGTGTTTTTCCCCTCATCAAAAAATGCTTGCTGCATAAAAAATCATTTTTGTTCAGCTTTTTTTTAACAACAATGATGCATTTAACCGCTGCTGTTCCAGCCAAACCGCCTGGGTCTCATAAGAAGTTTCTGCCGGGACAACCACTTTTATAACATGTGTTTCTCCTTCCCTAGATGTCTGCTTAAAGTGTTACTAAACCCAGGACCCTGCATTCACTATATCTGGTTCCCAACAGTACAGAGAACATGAAAATGCCATTATTTTAGTAAATATAAACTGCTAAATACCTTTTCTCATCAGCAGTTAGAACAGTCTTGTGACTTCTATCAGTTTTCAGCTGAGCACTGGATAAAGCTTGTAGGAGGAGTTTTCATTCTTCTCTCACTGCCCTATGAGATTGCATAACCTCTGACCCTCTGTCTGGACAGTGCTGATTGGCCCTCTGCTGATCACATGAACCCTCCCAAAAAAAACCCATATGCACCAAACTGAGCATGTGTAGCGTGTCCCTGAAGCCATGTTCTTTCAGGAGATGAAATGGGGAACATGGAAGAAGGGGAGAATCAGAGAAGTCAGGATCAAACATCCTTTTTACACAATGCAGAGGATTAACCCATTAAGTTCCACAGTAAGTAAAACAAGCATGCTTTACTGCATATACAGACTGATTTTACTGTTGTGGGTTTAGTAACACTTTAAAAATGCTCCCCAAACGCCCTATACGATTTTGACGTGTTTTACAAGTGTTAAAACTGCACCACAAACGCCTATAATTAAATGAAATGTTATTAACGCGTCGCAACCTTGGTGCAAGCGTCCAGCAAATGCTTGCCAGAGCATTTGCGGAGCGTCACCATAGACTTGAATGGGAGGCATTGAAAGGTTTCAAACTCCTCCAGACTCGACATGAGGTTTCAATTTTGAAGTGACACTAACGCTTCACATTTTGAGCACTATGTGCTGTCCATAGTATCATTTGCATAGGTGTTTGAGGAGCGTTAAAAACGCCTGCTTTCAATGTCAATGTGAACAGGGCCTAATGGAGAACACAGTCAGCAGAGCTTTAGCATTCTATTGCTTGCAGTGCAACAACAAATATGCATAGTAACTAAAACACATTAAATACTATAAATATTGTTTTCTTACCATATTATTCCCCCTTAAAAAGTCAACACAAATTAACAACCAATATGAAATTTTAACGTACCCGCTGAGTTTCACATTATGCTCTCATAAGCAGCATTGTAGTTTTTACATAAGGGCAGTGTTTGCTGCAACACAGCGGGCACAATAAGACTCTTTCATAACTTCATGCAATGATCTCAGAAAGTTAAACATAAAGGCATTTTAAAGGTCACAAGAAATAATACTACAGTTATTACAAGAATTCTTCAATAGGAATGAGTATCACACATTCTCTGTGTCTCTGCTAATCAAATCTGAAAACATCACACTAGGATGTAAATTTGTGAGCCGGGGCGGACTGACCATTTGGAAACTCGGGCACTGCCCGAGGGCCCGGGGTCAGTAGGGGGCCCCATGAGATGCCCCTGGTACCTTTTTCATAGGCTTTTTTGAGTTTGGGCAAGGACACAAGGGCCCCATGATCCCCTATTGCCTGGGGGCCCCATGAGTTGTCAGTCCGCCCGTTTTTGAGGGTGACATACAGAGTTCCTTAAATGGAACCACTAGAGTTCGTGGCGTAAATATGCATTAAGCAACTTTAGCTGGGCAGTGGTGTCCCGAGGCGGGTGCTTTCACACTGATCCAGTTTTCTTCTGCTTTTGCGTAAAAAAAAGACAAAACAAAAAACACAACATGTGACCATGTATTCCTATGGAACACTTCACACTGATCTGTTGCATTTTTTTTAAATCCTGCTGGGTGCATTTTTGTTTCAGGAAAAAAAAAAAAAAAAACACACCACACAAAAAAAAAAAAACAAACAATGCATTCCTATGGGACCAGGGGCAGACTGACAACTCATGGGGCGCCTGGGCAATAGGGGATCATGGGGCCCCTGTGTCCTTGCCCAAACTCAAAAAAGCCTATGAAAAAGGTACCAGGGGCATCTCATGGGGCCCCTTACTGACCCCAGTCCCTCGGGCAGTGCCTGAGTTTCCAAATGGTCAGTCCACCCCTGTATGGGACTCTTCACACTGATCCATTGCAATTTTTAAAATCCTGCTTGGTGCATTTTTGTTTCAGAAACACACACACACACACACCACCAAAAAAACAGAACAGAAAAAAAAAAAAAAAAAAAAAAACCCACCATCACCACACGCAAAACAAAAAACACACCTATTAAAATAATTGGAAATACAGCAAAAACACACCTGTGTTGCGTTTTTCAGTCGCATGTGTTGTATAAAATGCACCGAAAACAAGGTATCAGTGCAGGGGCGGACTGACCATTTGGAAACTCGGGCACTGCCCGAGGGCCCGGGGTCAGTAGGAGGCCCCATGAGATGCCCCTAGTACCTTTTTCATAGGCTTTTTTGAGTTTGGGCAAGGACACAGGGGCCCCATGATCCCCTATTGCCTGGGGGCCCCATGAGTTGTCAGTCCGCCCGTTTTTGAGGGTGACATACAGAGTTCCTTAAATAGAACCACTAGAGTTAGTGTCGTAAATATGCATTAAGCAACTTTAGCCGGGCAGTGGTGTCCCGAGGCGGGTGCGGCCTGCACCAGGTGACACCGCATGGGGTGACACTGGACCCGTTCCACAAAAAGGAAAGTTGTAAAGCAAGCCGAAGATCCCCGCAGGATGGATCCGATCCATCCTGCAGGGATCATCAGCTTTCTCTACAACTTACCTTTTCGTGAAGAGGGTCAGGTGTCACCCCGTATAGGTTGCATGCCGACAATCCCCGCAGGGTGGTTCGGATCTGCTGATTGGGGAGCATAATGGATCTGAGTTCGATCCATTATGCTCAATCCACAGATCCGATCCATTCTGCGAGGATCGTTGGAGGGGGTGTCACCCAGTGTTATCGCACTGGGTGACACCAACCCTAGGGATGCCCCTGAGCCCGGGTTCACACTCTTGTGCAAATCACATGCGATTTCTGTGTGGTGCAATTTGAGCCATACATTTTGTATGGGTCAGATCGCACTGCATCTGCACCAAAATAGTGCAAGACCCTTTTTTTTGTTCTCACCAGAATCGGATCGCATGGGTATTCACACCCATGTGATCTGATCCAGCACATCGCACCGCATTTGTGAACCAACTTCAGGGTGCCGATAACTTAACATACACACCCGCAGCGGTTCATATGAATGGGGTGCGATTAGGATGCGGTGCGGAAATCACACAGAAACCGGTGCGAATTCTGCACCGCATCAGTGTGAACCCAGGCTTAATGTAAATAGTGAATTCGTTTTGCTTTATTTGTTTTCAGATGGAAAATGAAATGCTTCTTTGCACAGTTTTTGGCTTTTTCTCTGTTGATGTTCAATAAAGTAAAATTCCAGGAAAACCATTGTTTTAAGTTTGTTTTAATTAGAATTAGAGAAGGTTTAAAATGCGAAGGGCTCATTTACACAGACATCTAAGACATCGTATTTAGAGCATACAGCATAGACTTTTATACGCATCTAAATACAGCATTTTGGGGCCATCTGCAAACAAAAAATGTGTAGCAGCATACAAAAAAGTGACAGACAGTTGCATCCGGGGCCATACAGGTCTGCAGATTTTCTGCTTGTATGTGTAAATGCATGAAAAGTCATTAGAAGAACTGTACACATCTAAATACACCTACATACAAGTACTTTGGGCATGTACTTTATGCAGATTATGTTCTGCTAGTTCTGCCCACAAGAACCCGCGTTCCATGCAGAAAATATGAATATGCCAATGTGAATGAAGGCTTATACGCAGGGTTACACTAGAACAAACATTTGCAGTTGGATCATTCTGCTGGGTCATCGAGGCCACTATTAGTATAGGGAACACATACCATGTGTATGTTTTTTTTCTAAGACCACTGTGCCTAGCACTGGCAAATGAAGGAGGGATTGCAGCTATCTAGAGTCCTCCATTCAATCAGGAACACAAAAATACTGAGGGCCAATTCCCAGTTATACATCTCATGTGCAAACCACGGTGAGGTGCCATTTGTCCTGAAAGTGGCATTTACTTTTTCAGTGGCAGATTCAGTATCCATGTCTGAATCTAGGTGAACACAGCATGTTCTATCAGAGATCCCACCTACTGTATGAACACATTGGTAACCAATCGATTTTAAACTACCTGCCGATCCTTCCACGGGACGCATAGATTCCAACCCTGCTGTGCCACCAGACCTTGGCCATCACCTCTCAGATGTCACAATTAGTGGTAGGATTTGCAGAGCTAAGGGAAGTCCTAGGTGTGATGACCATGGTCCCCGACTCCTGCCCTTCTCACCAACTCGTGACAAAGGACCAGCCAATCTCACACCGTGCTGTCACTTGCATAACAATGCCACTCTCAGCTGCACCCTGCACAAAGATTTTCCAGCTCACGGGACCACAATCTATGTGTCAGCAGACTGAGAGCGATTGTCACTGGGTTAATTAATTATGCAATTAACCCTTCAAACTCCAAACTGCCACCAGATAGCTTTGGGCCTATCAACCCTTCACAATGTTAGCAAGAACAAATGTGAACAATAAACATCTGTAACGCACACTGTCACAACAGACAGGTACAGTTGCAAGAAAAAGTATGTGAACCCCTTGGGATTACGTGGAGTTTTGCATGAATTGGGCATAAAATGTGCTCTGAACGTCATCTAAGTCACAACAATAGAACACAGTCTGCTGAACATAATACTACACAAACATTAGATGTTGCCATGGTTGAATTGCACATAACATGTAAACGTTCACAGTGCAGGGAGGAAAAAGCATGTGAACCTTTGGACTTAATAACTGGTTGACCCTCCTTTGGCAGCAATAACCTCAACCAAACGTTTCCTGTAGTTGCAGATCAGACCTGCACAACGATCTGGAGTAATTTTGGACCACTCCTCTTCACAAAACTGTTTCAGTGTAGCAATATTCTTGGGATGTCTGGTGTGAATCGCTCTCTTAAGGTCATGCGACAGCATTTCAATCGGGTTGAGGTCAGGACTCTGACTGGGCCACTCCAGAAGGCGTATTCTGTGCTGTTGCAGCCATTGTTTTGTTGAATTACTTGTATGCTTTGGGTCATTGTCCTGTTGCATCACCCATCCTCTGCGAAGCTTCAGTTGGCGGACAGATGGTCATATGTTTTCCTGCAAAATGTCTTGATAAACTCTGGAATTTATTTTCCCATCAATGACAACAATCCGTCCAGGCCCTGAGGCAGCAAAGCAGCCCCAAACCATGATGCTCCCTCCGCCATGTTTTACAGTGGGAATGAGGTTTTGATGTTGGTGTGCTGTGCCTTTTTTATCTCCACACATAGTGTTGTGTGTTCTTCCCAAACAACGCAATCATGGTTTCGTCTGTCCACAGTATATTTTGCCAGTAGTGCTGTGGAACATCCAGGTGCTCTTTTGCAAACTTCAAATGTGCTGCAATATTCTTTTTGGAGAGCAATGGCTTCCTCCGTGGTGTCCTCCCATGTACTCCATTCTTGTTTAATGTTTTCCTTATTGTAGATGTGTCAACAAAAATGTTAGCATGTGCCAGAGATTTCTGTAGGTCTTTAGCTGACACTCTGGGATTCTTCTTTACCTCATGCAGCATTCTGCGCTGTGCTCTTCCAGTCATTTTTACAGGATGACCACGTCTAGGGAGAGTAGCAACAGTGCTAAACTTTCTCCATTTGTAGACAGTCTGTCTTACCGTGGACACATGAACATCAAGGCTTTTGGAGATACTTTTGTAACCCTTTCCAGCTTCATGCAAGTCAACAATTCTTGATCGTAGGTCTTCTGAGAGCTCTTTTCTGCGAGGCATGGTTCACATCAGACAGTGCTTCTTGAAACCAGTAAACCCAAAACAGGTTTGTGTTTTTTAAGGGCAGGACAGGTGTCAGCAACACATCCAATATCATCACACTGATTGGAGTCAAGGTTGGCTCACTCCTGGCTCCAATTAGCTCTGGAAGAAGTCATTAAGCTAGGGCTTCACATACTTTTTCCTCCCTGCACTGTGAATGTTTACATGTTATGTGCAATGAAACCATGGCAACATCTAATGTTTGTGTAATATTATGTTCAGCAGACTGTGTTCTTCTATTGTTGTGACTTAGATGACGTTCAGAGCACATTCTATGCCCAATTCATGCAAAACTCCACGTAATCCCAAGGGGTTCACATACTTTTTCTTGCAACTGTATATTCAGAGGATTATTACATACAGTAGCACTCTTCAAGAGACAGGGATTCTTTAGTTTGCATTAAAAGCTTTAGAGACCGTGTCAACACTTTTCAAAATAGGGTTTTTTACTAAAAAAGGTCAAAATGGTACAATTAAAATATTTACAGAAAAAGATGTTACAAAGACAAAAAGAGAACAATAAAGCAACAGAGGAATAAAAGAAAGGAGTTAAGAAGACAGAATACTTGCAAAGCCCTTGGTTTTAGCAGAGTCCAATTGTCCAAGCAAAAATGTTGCTTTGGCTCTCAAGTCCGTTTAAGATGTTCCTTGGATGATGTTAAACAAGAGCTCCCTTACTAGATCAGGTCAGTCTCTTTTCTATGATATCAAAGGGGTTTTGCCTGAGAACAACTGACCAATCATCCGGTTTAGGAGTGGATGCTAGGAGGTCACCAAAAATTAATGACCAAGTCCCAACTACTGTTTCATACTAATCTTAACAACTTCCAATACATGCAGGTGGTATCCTAGCAACTGGCAGATTAATATTCAGAATTATATTTCGAACCCAGGGATACTAAACACAGTGTACCTTCCTCACCCAGGAGGGAGAGACTGCTTTCTCCCCTTTCCTATGTGCTAACATGTACAGTATGACCTTGATTTCTTTGGTATAAAATTCCCTATTCAAATATATACCTAATATTGATGTGCCCTGTTCCTGCTGAATTGAGCCTTAATGGCCTAACGGGTAATTTTTGACTGCTTGACTGAGGGGAGGACTGGGAGAACTTCACTCACTCTGCCAGGCATAGCTGCATGTGAAGTCTGTTGAAGGATTTTTTTTGGAGACGGAATTTGTGCAGTGGGTGATTTTCGCTTTGAGAGTAGATGCTGGTACTGGAAGGTTGTATTTTTGCTTGGGAATGGGGGGAGGGTTGGGGGAATGTGTGTTAGGTACTCCTGACGTCTGCACTGTGTGTTATGTACAACTGGTCTCTGTGCAGTGCGTTACATACTACTGACTCCTACACTCTGGAATTGCATAATACTGACCCCTACAATCTGTATTACTTCATACGGACCTCTAAACTCTGAGTTACACTACTGATCTCTGCATTCTGTGTTACTCCTCATCTCTAAAACATTGTGTTACATACTACTA